AACCTTGGACCTCCTCATGAACGACCAAAGACCAGCTCAATACCTCCCGCACAGGATCAAAAACAGGGAAACAAGGAGAAGCGACCAAGAGTCAAACAGCAAAGCAACCAAACCCACCGCCGGCCAGCTCAATACCTCCCGCACAGATCAAAAACAGGGAAACAAGGAGAAGCGACCAACCGTCAAACAACAAAGCAACTAAACCCACCAAAGACCAGCTCAATACCTCCGCACATATCAAAAACAGGGAAACAAGGAGAAGCGACCAACACTCAAACAACTAAGCAACTAAACCCACCGCCGGCCAGCACACAGACACAGCAAAAGCAACCAAACCCACACCGCGGACCAGCTCAATCAATACCTCGTGCAGATCAAAAACAGGAAACAAGGAGAAGCGACCAACCGTCAAAGAACAAAGGGGGTGTGAAAGCCCAAACTTTTGGGTCGGCAAGGAGCAGCACCAGCAGGCCATCCGCACCTTGCACCCCACGTGTGAAAGCCGAACTTTTATGTCGGGCCGAGAGAGCTCTCACAGTACACACAGACGCACAGTAACCGCGGCGGCCCTTTAGCATTTTTGTTCAAGTTCCTCATCTCGCTTTGGCCAAAGTACAGGTTTCGATCCGGGCCACCGCAAATTTTGATCAGCAAATTTCGAGGGGCGGCCGCAAATTTTGAGGTAGATTTTGATTGTCAAAATGTGTCCGTCTTGGCACAGGATAGAGCATATAGGCGGCGAACACGCGGGTGCGCAGGGACATCGCGACTCTGCCCGCTCGCTCGACCCTTTTGCCGCGAGAGGGCGCCGGCCGCGTGTAAGAGGTGGCTGGCGCCCTGAGGCGGCAATTGGTGGCGTGGGGAGTGCGGAACGCTACTGGCGGCGCGACAGGGCCTCTCTCCGCTGCGTGTGCCGCCCATCGGCACGCGGGTGCGCAGACATCGCGACTCTGCCCGCTCGCTCGACCCTTTTGCCGCGAGAGGGCGCCGGCCGCGTGTAAGTAGTAAGAGGTGGCTGGCGCCCTGAGGCGGCAATTGGTGGCGTGGGGAGTGCGGAGAACGCTACTGGCGGCGCGACAGGGCCTCTCTCGGTTGCGTGTGCCGCCCATCGGCACGCGGGTGCGCAGACATCGCGACTCTGCCCGCTCGCTCGACCCTTTTGCCGCGAGAGGGCGCCGGCCGCGTGTAAGAAGTGGCTGGCGGCCTGGCGCCCTGAGGCGGCATTTGGTGGGGTCAGCGTGCGGTGCTGAGTCTTACTCGTCGGCGCTGGGGCCAGATCCCAGCGCAGAACTCTGCAACGCTGGCATACAAACACAAGCAAGAAGACTAACCCTAACCCTAACCCTAACCCTAACCCTAACCCTAACCCTAAAGCCGTAGGTCAGCGTGTGGGGCTGAGTCTTAGTCGTCGGCGCTGTGCGGCCAGATCCCAGCGCAGAACCCTGCAACGCTGGCATATACAGACACAGCCAGACTAACCCTGACCCTAACCCTAACCCTAACCCTAACCCTAACCCTCTAACCCTAATAACCCTAACCTAACCCACACCCCCCAACTCCACACCGCAAATTTGAAAGATCTTGTTGAAAATCAGGCCCGACTGCAAATTTCTTCAAATTTTTCGCAGGCGCTCCGCGCGCCTGCAGATTTTGAAATAAATTCGACAAAATTGGTACCTGGCCCAAATCTCGCTTCTCGGTCTGCTTTCTGTGCTTCAATTGCTCACATGCGTCCTTGGAAGTTGTGTGACCTCCTTTCACCTCCTGCTCTCGTATGCCATGCTGCTATTTATTTATTTATTTACCCTCACAGAGCGTACACCGCGGGCGCCTCTTGCGGGCCGGAGCCCTTAGCCACCGCGCGGTCAAAAGTCTACCGAAAATCGGCGCCTGCGGCGGGCTGGGGGACCGCTTCTCCCCCCGCATGGGTACGCCCTCCTGGGCCCCGCGCCCCCCCAGAGCAATAAGTGCTACTGAGTAGTGTGGCGCTCCCTCATGAGGCATGCGCAGCCTCGAGACCCACAACCCCCGTGTCAGCGCAACGGCGCGGGGCGGAGGGAGGCGACGCTAGTACCAGAACGGCGGCTCGTCGCCACCCTCCCATGGCGGCGGCACCTCGCCTACAGGGAAAGTTTCGGGAAGGTTCCGAGAATGCTCCCGGCCTCTCCCGCGGCGGCGGAAGCCTCGCCGGGCGGCGGCGGCGGGAAGTCTGGCCCACTAGACTGTTGCCAGCCGCGCATCCACTCCTCTCTCCTCCACTGTGGCTGCGGGGCGGCGGGAAGGCGGAAGGAGGCGTCATTCATGCGGCTTGGCGCGCGCGGCTGGCAAAGGCGGCCAGCAAGGAGGCGGCGGCGGCGGCGGCGGCGGCGGCGGCGGCGGCGGCGGCGGCGGCGGCGGCGGCGGCGGCGGAGGCGGCGCGCAGAGAGGGGCGTGCGAGCGGCGGGGGGTGGAGTGAGCGCGGCAGCGAGCGGCTGGAGTCGGTAGCATGAGTTGGAGACAGCGTGAGTTCAATGGCGTTGTGAGTGCCGGCGGCGGCGAGTCTCACCCCAAACTCATCACTGTACCCAAACTCAGCATCGCGCCTCGCGAAGAAGGCGCCCTCGCCGGCGCTGCTGGCGTAGAGGATCGCGCCGACCCCGCCCACACTCAACAAAATCACGGGCAGAGCCCCCAGAGACAGGAAGAAGAAGAGTGCGGCGGCGAAGCCGCCCACCGCCGCGAGACCGCCGAGGTAGCGGAAAATGTCGCGCTCGACGTCGCGAAAGGGCGCGCCGCGCGGGAGCAGCTCGTCTACCCGCGGCGGGCGCGGTGGCGGAAATAGCTGCATGACGGTGCCGGCACGCGGAGCGTGCAAGCGCAATGGGATCGGACGCAATGGGATCGCAATGGGCATGCCCGCCGAGGCTGGCACATGCCGCTCGGGCACATGCCGCTCAGGCCGCTTTACCTCCAGGGCGACTGGGCGCGAGCCGCCGCCGTGGAGGGCCGGAGGAGGCTGCAGCAGCGCTGCGGCGCCCGTAGAGATCAGTAGGACGAGATGGAAGGGCATACGAGCTTCCCCGGGGCTTGGGGGTGGACGGCTGGTGCAGGGGCTGTGAAGCAAAGGCTGGGTCAAAGAGCACAAGGGACAGTACTACGACGCGCTCCATGTCAAGAACGGAATCGTCAAAATTTGTCTCGTCGAAAGCCAGGGCGGCATCGCGCCGCCAACCAAGAGAATCATCTTCAACACCACTCGCAACAGCTCTCGCGCGCCGCCGTCAGTGGCGATGCGCAAAACATCAACAACGCTGCTCGCAACATGCGTGTCGCGCACTCATTCATGACCGGTCTCAATGCCCCACCCCCCTGCGCGCGGGCCTTCTAAGCCCGCGGGTAGTCCCCCCCCATCCCCAGGGCCTCCAGGGCTCGCACCTCAACCTCTCACAGACCAGCGCACAGCGCCATAGGACGTATTTTCTTCTCAATAACAAGGCTGTGAAGTGCCACATGCAAGGCTGTGAAGTTGCCGCAACGGCTCACCGCAGTCCACGCAGCCTTGTTATGAGAATGAAGGGTGGAGAGGGGCCCGTCCGCAGAGCTAGGCGGCGTGGGCGCCCCCCACTGGGGCCGAGGGTAAGAGGACGCGTCTGCCGCTTGCTGGTTCTTGATTGACGTCGTAGATAGGGTGCCCACACGACCCAAAAGAAAAGAGCTTTCCGGCCCAAAAAGGGACGCGCGAGGCAAATCTGATGTTGGAGTGTTCCAATAGGAGCGAGGCCTCTTCCGCTGGGGGACCGAGTGAATAGGAAACGAGGGTTCGAGCGCGCAGGCGCGAAACATCGGAGACAATAGGGGGATCCGGCGTGAAAGAGCTATCGACATTGTACATTGTCATTGACCTTGCTTGACCCTGCCGATTCCACCGATGTCGACGCCATCACCTCTGCGGCTACCGCACTCTCGCTCGACGACACCGCGTGGAATCACACCGAAGGCCTTTGCCGAGGCGATGGGCCGGGTCACGTTGGACCCCGACCCCGCCCCCACCCCTCGGGGTTGGGGGCAGTCGTACCCCCGAGATTTTCAGCTTTCAATTAGTCATGCTGCACGTGCAGAAGCGCAAAGCTTTTGCGCACCCAGAGCTGGGCCACGGTAGGAACATGGGAGGCTCGCCTTAGTGACGTGTGCGCGAGCGGCGCTGTGATCGATTTTCCATGTTTCCACAGCGCTCTGTCCCACATGGGATCAAGAAGTGATCGTTCTGCTCGATTCTGCCAAGCTTTTTTGTATCTATTTGTCAATGCCCATTTACACCCTGCACGAAGATCGCAAGGGCGGGGATCTGTTCCTTTTTACCCATCTCACAGTAGAGGTGTCCGTTTTTATTTATTTATTTAATGCCCATTTATTGTCAATGGCCACAGGCTTCATCCGCACTCAGGTCCGTTCATGTTTTCGGTTGTAGTAATTGCTATCTAACGGATAACAAAGTTGGGCTGGCACGGACGCTCAAGAAAGAAGCACTTCAAAAAACCGAGAGTCCGTTGCTTTGCATGCGCATGGAAGTGCAAGTATAGAGCACGTCCATGAGCACGCCTTTTGGACTCATTCGTCAGCCCGTTCGGCGTCATTACAAGGACGCGCGATTTTATCGTAGCGAGCCCACCATCCAGGTGCTTAATTCGGATGGTCATTGGTTCTTCTGGTGGTGCATAGTATGGCATGAGATTGGCCCCACGTGGTATTGCGTCGCCCTCAGCTCGCGTCAAGTTCCTCTCAGCGTATGCGCACGCAGGAATGATGATATTCTGTGCTAGCAGTCCATGCAAACACGCTTTGCTCACCCCGCAGGCCGAGGGCGGCAGTGAGTGCGTGAGTGTTGCAGCAGTGCACATGCCCTTCTCTCTGAGCACGCCAGTAATTCGCATGTCACCCCCTGAGTCGGCGCCCTTGCGCAAGTAGTTGTATCGGACGACTTCTCGCCAATAAGCAGCAACGTATTCGGCATTCATGAAGCTGGCGTGCACGCTTCCATAGCTCGTCGGGGCTGGACACCTTTCCATAGAATTCTTCACACGGACATGCATTGCGGCAGTCGCATCCAGGCGCGCTCTGCCGTACGCGTCTGGCCAGCCCGTTGCGGCGCAGAGCTCACTGAGTGTTGCTGTGAGGATGACGTCCAATTCAATGTGCAAAGCAGAATCTAGACGTAGAGTGCGCCACGCTGCGGCAAGATAGGCGTACCGTGTGTAGTAGCCAAGCGGGGGCCGTCGCTTACCTTCCTTAGTGCTATGCACCGATGGCCAGAGATCCTGAAGATGTATTATTCCACGCCAGTCAGCGGCTGTGAATGCAGTGGCTTCGAGACTCTCCATGGTCAGCAGCACTGCACGATAATCTTTCACCCAGCCCGTGTGCTCTGCCGTCAACATTCCACTACGATTGCTCAATACGACCACAATCTGGTTGTTGGGATTGAAGAGGCGAGCGGCACGGACAGCACCAATATGACTTGCGCCCATTATGCCGTTGTCTCGTGGTGAGAACACAATGGGAAGGTTAGCGCATGGCGGATCGTGGATCTTTCGCGGGTTACGCAGCGGCACGCAATCGGCAAGAACGAAAACGACAACTGCCAAAGTCATTTCCATGCAGCGTTGACCCGAGAGATATTTCGGCCGATACCCGCGCGTCCGTCCCCCGGACGAATAACTGGAATGCGGGCACTAAGAAAACGTAGTCATTAACCAAAACGATTTCCGCGAAAAATAAGAAACGACGTCCCGCCTCATGTGTCATGAGCAGAACACAGAAGTGTGTACGGTCAGAAAAGAATTTAACGTGCTCGCCCAGGACGCAGGCAGGAGCTGCGCTCCCCACCCACCCCACGCCGTGGTTTCTTAGCTTCGGCCGGCACCACAGGTCAGAGCCGGGATCTAGGAATTTTTAGGTAAAATGACAATAGGATAAGCATAAGGAAGCGCTGGACCGCTCCGGATGACGTTGGCCTTTCCGAGGGTTTCCTCTCGCACCCTACCTGGTTTCCTTTCCGTGTTTCCTGCTCGTTTCCCTACAACACCCTCTAGTTAGTTTCCTCGGGAAACCCCGGGGAAACTCCGTGGAATTCGTCATTTTGGGGGGGCTCTGAGCCGTGTCTGAGGCTGTTTTGGGGCCAAAATCGGCAAAATACCGGGTATTTTGCGGGTATACCTGGAAACCCCCGGCATACCTGGAAGATACCTGGGTATCGTGCCGATTTCCTCAATTTTGCCCCAGATTTTGCCCCAGACCAGCTCTCAGACTCAGGGAAACTCGCGAGTTTCCCGAGGGAAACTCGAGAGAAACAGAATGGAGCACCAAACACCCACTGGTTTCCCTGGAAACTTCCGGAAACGCAAAGTGCTGGGGACCCTCTGGTTTCCCTCTGGGTTGCCGGAAACCCTCGGAAAGGCCAACGGATGAGCGGATGAGGGATGTCGCCAGTCCGCAGTCTGCCACCCACTTGGGATGACAGGAAGACGCACACACCTCCATCCACACCGCCCAGAACACCGCAGACTTGGGCAAATGACAAGTGCGCGCGCCGCAAGGGGCGAAGAGAAAATTTTTGAGCGGGGCCGTCCTGTTCACACTCGTGTGAGGTGTGTGGGCCCTTTCTTGTGGGGCCGCGCCTGAGGCGCGCCGTGGTTTCTTAAAGGTCTCTTAATGCCCGCAACAGACTGTAGGGGAGGAGGACAGGGTCCGCCGGGTCGTGCGCGCAAGTTTTACTCGTTCCTTCCGCTTCCTGCTTGGCGGCGACACCGCACAGAACCTCGAGCATGCAGCAGGAGCCGATCGCTCAGCTCGCGACGCGGCACCTCTACCTCGAGACCCCCGACAGCGAGCTCCTGCAGTTTTGTTTCGTCCGCACTCCGGTGCGCGAGCTTGTTGCGCCGCTGCCTTACCTGGTCGACCCGCCTCCTCCGCTGCCGCTGCCGTGCCCAGAGGTGCTCCCTCCGAGCATTGTGCTCGCGGCGTGCGCCGCTGTGGATGCGGAGGAGGCAGTGGGCGCGCCCGCGCCCGCGCCGCTGGACCCGCCTGGCCGAGCCGCTCTCCTCGCAAGCCTCCAACGGGCTCTGCTGCTCGGGCGAGAGCTTCCCGCAGCCGCGACCGCCTTGCCCGACGAGGAGTGGCGGGCGGCCCTTGCCGAGACGAGCAGCTTTGGCGGCGGCCTCTCGCCGGAGCACCTCTGCCGCCTCTCTCGGCGCGCGGCCCGCCTCAGAGCACCGCGCTGCGCCCCCTGTGAGCGCCCTCCCCGTTGGCCGGCCGCAGGGAGCTTCGCGTCGCGCCGCTGGCCGAGTGGCTGGTCATCCACATGATCCCGCCGCTCGCCTCCGCCCTGCCGCCCGAGGACGACGAGCCACTGCCCGAGCCTTTGTCGGATGCGTTTTGTCAGCTGCTGCACGCGAGTGGGCTGCTGCGGCTGTCCGCCGCCAGCTTTGACGAGAGGGTCGTGTTGCCCCTGCGCGCGGCCGTGGGCGGCGGCCCGCGGGCGGCAGCCGAGGCGGCGCTAGTCTACGTCGCCGCGTTAAGCGAGGCTGCCAGTGGGCCGGAGGGATGAAGGACCAAAGCCGTGCACATATTCGTCGCCGCGTAGATAAAGCTCGCACATGTTGAAGACCGACGACCGCGCAGCCGTCTAGTCGACGGCCACACACACACACATAGTGTCCTTACCACTCGGGGACTGCACCTGTGCAGTTTCGTACCGCTGCGGCGCGGTTTTGCAAAAACCGTTCTGCAGCGGCGCGGTTTTGCCCTTCACCCGCAGCCGTAGATCTCACCGCGAATAGTCAAGGTGGCCCACAGGGCCGCGGGACAGGACACTTCGGAGGACACTTGTTTGTAAGTTTTGGCAGTCTATTTCTGTCAGTAATTTGGATACAGCTTGTGAGTGGTCACTGACTTCACAGTTGGTGGCGGCGGGGCAACGATCCCCGGGACATTACGACAACATGTCGTCGACGGACACAAGCTGGAGCTTCAAGCTGGTGATTCCGGCCTACAACCTGGGCTCCGAGCGGGAGC